GAAGTAATCGGTAATTAGTTACTGATTACTTTTTTCAAGTAACTTGACCAACACTGGTCATCAGGTCATTTATTTTGGAAATTCTCATGTAGGAACTATTGTACTGCATGTTGTTTCCGCTGGAGCACCTGAGTGACATGCACGCCCATATTGAAGTATGAACGTGGCAAGTTGAAGCAGGAGAGGGCAACTTGAGTCAGCGGAAGTTAAAGTGTTCTTAAAAGTATCTGTAAAGTGCTCATTTCTGCCTCTAAGCATGGGTCAGCCAGCGAGGTATGTTGTATATGTTATATAGATCATTTTATGTCTCTGTTTTACTCGTCTTACTATCTCATTGAATTTTATGTTGTTTTTTTTTAACGGTGGCCTAGTTTGTGATCAAGGTGCTATAACAATATCAATCCCAAGATTGTACAATTCATATGAAAGCCACCTTGATGCCATCAGTAAAAAGAACTCTTAAAGAGTTCTTTAATGACTTTAAGAAGAGGTGGAAGTGATCAGTTATTCAGCCCAAGAACTATTATCCATATGGTACCTTAGCCACAGTGGGTGAGTGCCGTCCGGGGATGGGTTTCAGAGGGAGACTGGGGGAATGTTGGGAGGTCTGGACCACAGAAGGTGCTGTGCTCTTTGTTCCGTGGGCCACAATCGGAGTCTCAGCCTGGCTCCCAGAGAGAGGAGGAGTGAGCTGAGGCAGCCTGACTGAGGACCGAGGTTGGGGTTTTGGGGAGTTCTGAAGACTCTGGGTCTTTGCTGGTCCATTGCCCAGTTCAACAGCTTCTACCGGCTCTAACTGGGCTGATCTGGGTGACGGGACCGACTCTGACACACACCTGGTGAAAACAGGAGCATTTTCAAGAGTGTTTTCTTGAGCAGTTTTAATTCTGAGTGAAAGTACTGAGTACCTGCGGAGAGAGCTGAGGGTGTCCGTCAGGGCTTTGACCCTCTTTAACATGGAGTCCATCTTCAGAGGCGCCTCCTTCAGGAAACGCATCGCCTCGACCTCCTGCCTCAACACCAAGCGCATCTTCATCTGCAGCTCTGGAAACTCACCTGGAAGATATCAAACATGGAAGGGAACTATCTGAGTACACTACCAAAATCTACATGACATATCAGGTTGATTATTTATTTCATTGTTTCAATAACTCCCAGATTTTTTTGAGTTTTTAATTAATTAATTATTAAAATCACTATAATATTTATTAGAACATTACATGACCAAACCATTCATATATCAAAATGCAGATCTAATGCACCTATTACATGTGGGCCAATAAAATGATATGATTTGGTTCAACCTTTCACTGAGTCACCCCAAACCAGGTGTCGGCAACCTTTAACACCCAAAGAGCCATTTGGACCCGGTTTCCACGGAAACGAAAGTACTGGGATCTTAAATGAAGATAACACTCTTATTGTTTTTTCATCTTTGCACTTTGTATAAAAGTGTGTTGCTTTTGAAATCCATGAGGTGCTACAGAGAAAGTTAAATTTCACTTATGTAATGAACACATTTTGAAGATAAATCAATAATAACAAAAATGAAACTCGCCGACTTGAAGGTTTTTTTCAAATGAATTAAAAAGCTGAACTTAAATCATCCATGTAGCAAAAAAATTTCATGTCACAAAAATGTCATTTTTATATCGCCTTTGGGCTTCAGGAGCGTGTAGCTCTGCCCAGAAATGACCAGAATTTATAAAATATAATAGAAAAAAAGGTCTATGTCACTAAACAATTAAAAATTAATGTCTGCAAAATATCAGCATAAATATTTATTTCACCTGGTTAATGTTCCTGAACATTTGCTCACAGCGACTGCAAAGCAGGGCTGTGCGAGGTCACCTTTATGCAGGACTGTAAGCTGTCGTCTGTGAGGTGTGAGCGGTGTTTGTGGAGAACATATATATGTGGATCCGAAGATCGACAGGACTCCAAATGCATATTTCTTCAGTTAGGTGTCGGGGATGAAATTCCATGTTTGTCCGGTCTTCAAAGGGTGTCAACATCACTCCATCTGTGATCCTGAACAAGAGTGGCCTTCTGATGGGCAACATCTCGACCCTCTGTCAAGCGTTTGAATTCGTACACCCACATATCTTTGTCAGCTGTGTCAGCCAGCTCCAGATCAGGTTGACTTACACCTGCAAATGCAGTCACATTTAACAGGGAGGGCTCGATGGTCAGGGGAGTGATGTGGAAAGAGAATGTGTTTTTTCCTCTCCGAACTCTTGGAATTGTTTTCCAAAACGATGCTTGCACCGTGGTGATTGCAGACTGCAAATATTCTGCATTTATTACCTGGTTTAAACTCTCTTAAAGAGGGGAAGTGAGACAGTGAGCCTCTCTGTAAATCTCTGACTAAAACTGTCGGCTTGCGCTAACCCTGACACCTCCTCCAGCATGTGTAGCGCTGTGCCTCCTCTTGTATTCAGCTTGTTCAGGTTTGCTATCATGTCCACCGTGAAGTGCAGCCTTTCCAGCCACTTCCAAAATGCGAGCCCTTTGCTGCTCATGAAAGTTTTCACCTCTCCCAGACGTGCACCAAAGCGTTTCAGCACCTCTCCTCTGTTATACATGAGGAGATCAGAGTACGTGCTCTGCATCTCATCCAACAATAAATGGAACTGATGGTGATTTAAACATTTTGCTATTATTTTACTGCTAATCTGAATGACAACACTCATGACCTCTGTGCATTCTGGAGGAAAGGTTTGCGCGCACAATGTCTGTTGGTGCAGGATGCAGTGAAATGTCAGCAGCTTTCTATCCAGTGACTTCTGCAGCAATGCCAAGAAGCCCCCGTGCACACCAATCATACTTGGCGCCCCATCAGTAGCCACTGACACCAGGTGGGTTGTTTCTATTTCTTTAGCTCTTAAACAATCAAGCACAGCTTCACAGACAACCTTCTCCAGTGTCTGGCATTTTAGTGGTATCATCTCAATCATTTCTTCCTGTGGTGGTGCGGCTTCCCATGCGTGGTCACAAAATCTGCATATATAGTTGAATTTGCCGATTTCATCCTTCCGCATCAGTTCTCTCCTCTCCCTCTGGATATTTTTCAGCAAAGGTCGTGTGTTTAGTTTGGAAATGTCTTGCGACATGTAAGCTTTTATTGTTAGCCAGTCTCTCTCCACAAACTGGGCATACTGGTAGGCCAGAATGAATCTGCCCAGGTATCATTAATTATTCTATTTTCTCAGATATTTTTCTTTTCTCACTTTTCTCTGGCTTCTGCAAGCGTGACGCTTGTTTAAAATAAAATATAATTTAATTTTAATATTTCAAGATCACAATAATCTTCCAATTTGAACTACAATTTTAAAAAGAACAAAAATAAAGTACACCTCAATTAAATATAACTTATTTTCCCACGCCACGCAGAGCAGCAGTATAAGGATGAAAGTGCAGGTCGCTGACCCCTGCCCTAAACCCACTAACCTTTGAGAATGGCCAGAGTTTCCCCGACCCCCCGCAGGCTCATCGCTCCTTCCTCTACATCTCTCAGAGTTACACTCAGCTGGCTTGAACCGGTAATGGAGCTTCTTTGCAAATGGTCCACATAGTCCTCCAGTTCACTGCAAAGAACACAGAAGACAGAAACATATGGCATTAACAGTCACGGGCAGCAGAGTCAACTGTGTGATGGCCTGCTGTAGAAACAAGATGGCAGCAAAGAGCAGGTTTAAGGAGTCACAGTCACTGGTCCTGTGTGTGGCCCTCATATAAAGACACTAGAGATCCAGATCAGTGATTATTATTAATTCTTTTTGTGAATAACTTGAAAACTGCTGCACCTAAAAGTCTGCTATATGAAACGTTCACGTGACTGGAATGTTCTGACTTTGAATGCACTTCACTAGATAGAGCAGTCTGACAACATAAACACACATAACCATCATCAGAAGTGATGTATATATAAAAGCTCAGGTGCTGCAAGATTAGATTAGATTGAACTTCAACTTCATTGCACAGCTTACAAGTAAAAGTACATATGCAGTTAACCTCTAACCTCGAGGGTCGGAGCTATAAATGCATAGACACTATGCACATAAATATACATAATATAATAACCAGAGCTAAGTGAGCAACATCAAGCAGGTCTACAGAGTGACACAACACCCCCACCTGACATAATCTAACCACCTCTCACTGGTCCTCATCCCTGCCTACACCCCCTGCAGCAAACAGACCCATCCAGGCGCCTGGATTAAAACATGGCTAGATGGTGCTCTCCTCCAGCTATAGGACTGTTTTGATATAACAGCCTGGTCCATCGTTGAACAACGGGACCTGGAGACCTTCAGTCTTTGTCTCTTTGTCTCACTCACATTTCTTCTTGTTGCATGTTGAAGCTCTACTTGGAATCTTGTTAAGATCCAACCATGCAAAATATGATTTTTGGCCATTTTTCAGGTGGTCTTAAACTTATGTTGATTGGTTTCTGGAGTTTATTGTCTACTGAAGCATATTCTCAATATGGTTATATGCAATAAAATTCCAAAATACATTAGGCAAGGACAAAAGTATTCCTTTTGTTCTATGTTCCAGCCTCAGCTACTGTGACATAGTAACATCTCCTCTAATATTTCCACCTCTGATGAAGTCTCCCAAGTGTTCGCTTTATTTTGATACCAAGAGCAGGAACCTCAGAAAGAACCTCGGGGCTTAAGAGAGTAGGCTGGCTGGATATGTTGGTGTCTGGTTAAACGTGTGTTTGAACTCGCATAGAGAAACATAACTGTGTCCCAGTTATTCTGAAACTCCTCCTCATGAACCTTCATAAATGCCAAACCATGTTAGCAGAGTACGTTGAAAAAAGAAGTTAATGTGCAGCATGTTATTATGTGAATGAATTATGTGTTTGGAAGACCATGCCATACCAAATCAAATCACTCCCCACTCCTCTATTTTTAACAATTGCTTTTTAACATTAGGCCTACAAATGTTGATATGTCACGCCACGCATGCCAC